CTCTTTGATTAATTTAAAAAAGTAAAAAGAGACAAGATCAGATCACCCTCAAGGAAGGCCTGGGCCAGAGAAGAGAGCTACCACTAACAAGAAAAACTAATCTTTACTGGGGCTTCCTTGGTATAATGAATTATTTTAAGTGCTTTCGATAAATTACTTTCATTTAAAATTTTCATGTTATCTTTTCTCCCCTTTGGTCCTCAAAGCAACCCTCTGCAGGCAACTCTTACCCCTATAAAAGCTCAGAGAGGAGCACGTGAAAGCAGATTCATGTCAGTGCAAGACTGGAATCTGGCTTTCCTCCCCCTAAATCCCCTGCTGCTTCTCCCAACACCGGGGAAGGGGAGGAACTGGGGGCCGTGTGCTGATGAGAGGGTGCATCCCGGTGGGGTCACCTGTGGCTGAGATGAACTTGTTGTAGTTCTCATAGACCAAGGTCTGCATGTCGCTGTCTAGAGCCCGTATCTGCCGCACCATGTCCGTCTCACTGTCCATCAGCTGGGCCAGGGGGCACTCCCTACGCAGCTGGAGGAAGTCGGATGGTTAGTTTTTCCGGTCAGGGGGCACACATGTCCCCAGGCCTTGCCTCTAACTGGCACTTTCAGTGCAAGAAAAAACCCTGAACTCACCCCTATTAGGAATACCAGACACGGGGCCTGTAAGCGGCACGGCTCAGGTATTACCAGGTTCAACATTCGGTGTGTGTTTGCCTTTGAAATCCTCAAACTCTGTTGATGCCCAGCCCAGCGCCTGTCGGCGCCTGACCACGCCCCTAGCCCGGCCCTATCAACACATCAACCCAGGATACCTCAGACCTGTCCAAACCTGCCCACGCCACCTGAGACTCCAGCTCTGCCACTACTCCCTGGATGAGGGTCGTCCTCCCCGGGTCCAAATCCTGCTCCCCTCCTGCCCGCCCCGCAATACAATCGGAGGCATGTTCTAGGGATGCAATATATCGGGACCCTGGGTCCCTCCACACCTTGTCCAGATACATTTCCGGGTCGAAGTGCGCTCCGTTGAGATCTATCGGGTCCAGGGGGTCCGACCCTGGAGGTCGCCCTGCCGTCTCCCCCTCCGACAGGCCGTAGTATAGCTTCAGCATCCCGTGCGCCTTCCGCCGCCTCTCCGGTGCCTCCGGTTCAGGACCCTCCGGGGAGTCCCCCGGTCCAGACCCCGGGCCCAGCCCGGAGGCCGCCGCCGTCGCCATCGCTCCAGCTGCAGCCCGCGGGCGTGAGGTTGGGAAAGGGACCGGGAGGAGGCACTTCCGGGAGACATAAAGTTGTTGAAACGAGGCAGTCCTTCAGTTGAAACGTCCCCTTGAAGCCCTGGGTTCTTCGAGACTAGAGTTCCCTTGCGCCTGGCCTCCTCGAGCGAAGAGGTTCCGAGAGAGCGCTGCGTTCCGCCAGTTTTCCGGGTGGAAGGATTTTGTAGCAACTGCCTCAGTTTGCTTCCCTTTTAGAACGACGGCGGGTCGCGGCTCTCCCATCCTGCAGCCCCGCAGCCACAGCCCCCGGAATATGTCCCCAGATGCAGTAGATAGAGCCTGGGCCATGGAGCCAAAGAGAATATGCTAGGAATCCTGCCTCTGCCTCGTTACCTGGGCAGCGGTTTAGTTTTCCCCGTTTGTAAAATGGGGGTAAATACATCACAGGGGAGCTACGAGGATTAACTGCAGGTACAAGTACCAGGCATCACGCCCCTAGAATAGTGTTTCTCAAGGCCGGGTCCTCTGACGTGCACCAGAATTGCCTTCGGAATTACCTGTGGCGCATTATAAGCAGACTCTGGGCTCCCCCCAGACCTAGCTTCTTTTACAGAAGACCTCACGTAGTTCTCGTGCACACTTAAGTTTGAGAGCTCCTGTTACACCATGCTTAGAAAAGACTGGGCAAATCTAAGTGACTGACGGGATGTGCTGAGTGAGGCGTTGGGTGGAAATGTTGAGACTAATTCCCGGGTTTCTGGCTTGGGTGAATTTGTAGCTGTTCACGGGCGGTAACAGCCCAGGAGGAAAGGGAATGACTTGAAGTTTAGATTGGGACATGCTGTGTTTGAATGGATGAAAAGGAGGAAAAGACCAGACCGTTCATCAACGTGGTCCTTGAAACATTACTTATAATGGGCTGTGGGAAGGGAGGCTGGAGTGGAAACAACCCAATCTTTCGCAGGGGCCCTGTGGGCCAAACAGTCCGCCACCTGTTTTTGAATGGCCTGTGATCCAAGAATTTTTTTTTTAATGGTTGAAAAAAAATTAAATAACATTTCATGACACATAAAAATTATATGAAATTCATGTGTCCATAAAGTTTTATTGGAACACAGCCATACCCATTTGTTTACATATTATTTATACTGAGTAGTTGCAACAGAGATCATATGACCTACAAAACCAAAAACATTAACTATCTGGCCCTTTAAACAGAAAGTTTGCCAAGCCCTGAACCAAACCCATTGCTGTCGATTCTGACTCATAACCAGTTGCCATCATTTATGACTCATGGTGACCCTTTGTGAGTAGAATTGTGCTCGATAACTTTTTCAGTGGCGGATTTTTCAGAAGTAGATTGCCAAGCCTTTCTTCCAAGGTGCTTCTGGATGGACTCACGCCTCCAACTTTTCAGTTAGCAGCCAAGTACTTGAACCATTTGCACCACCCAAGGACACCAACCCCCGAATATATGGGCTGTTTGAAAATACAAATGAAGATTTAAGCCAATGGAGATATATAATCTCAAGAAAATGAAAAGTATAAAGGTTTGATCTACTCCAAGAGTTCTCTAAACTTAAAAGTTACAGAATACCGTTAAGAAAAATTATCCAAAATTTAGAAATAAGGCTGAGTGTAGCATATCTTTTCAACGCCATATGTCATGGATTGAACTGTGTCCCCAAAAAATGTGTACCAATTTGGCTAGGCCATGACTCCCAGTAGTGTGTGATTGTCCACCACTTTGTCATCTGATGTGATTTTCCTATGTTGTAAATCCTACCTCCGTTATGTTAATGAGGTGGGATAGGCGACAGTTATGTTAACGAGGCAGGACTCAATCTACAAGATTAGGTTGTGTCTTGAGCCAATCTCTTTTGAGATATAAAAGAGAGAAGCGAGCAGCGAGACGGGGACCTCATACCACCAAGAAAGCTGCACCAGGAGCAGAGCGCATCCTTTGGACCCAGAGATCCTGCATGGAGAAGTTCCTAGTCCAGGGGAAGATTGATGAGAAGGACCTTCCTCCAGAGCCGACAGAGAGAGAAAGCCTTCCCCTGGAGCCGATGCCCTGAATTTGGACTTATAGCCTACTAGACTGTGAGAGACTAAACTTCTGTTAAAGCCATCCACTTGTGGTATTTCTGTTAAAGAAACACTAGATAACTAAGACAGAATTTGGTACTGGAAATAGGGTGCTGCTCTAACAGATACCTAAAATGTGGAAGTGGTTTTGAAACTGAATGGATAGAGGACTCAGAAGGAAGTGAGCAGAACCAGCAGCAGCAGAACCAGGAGACTAGCGCCGGACAGTGCTGCAGCTGACCCATGGAGTGAGGGAGCTGAGTGCCTTCCAGCTGAAGTTTACTGGCAGAGTGGGGTGCCTTAAACAATAGTGGGGTGCACTAGATAACCAGAGACACCATACTAAGGCATTGTTTCCACAAGCCCGCCCAAGGGTTATGTAATTATCCACAGGAATGTATATTTGTTTGATTTTGCTGTTTACTACCAAGGGTTTAGACTATGGAATTACAAGTTAACTTGTAGATACTGTCCAGGAGATATGCAAAAAGACAAAAAATTGTATCGAGTAAAAAAGATAACCTCAACGGTTGTAATTTTCATTGCCCTGTGAGACACAACCAGTTATATATCTACCGTGGTTGTCCTAGTCTAACATTCCTATTGAAATGCCTATCCAGTTGCCATCTCAGTGGGAACCCCCTCGCTGATGAATTTATAAATCATAGTTACAGGTTCATTCAATACTTAGAAGTCATGTTTTAAGTTTTTGGAAAATTATACTTTGAGAACACAAACGGTGTGATTTTAAAATATGTTCTTCAAATCACGTATGTATAGGTACACCTAGTTGTCCAAAATTGCATAAAGACAGGCCCAGACGATGCCCACTCAGCAGACTGTTGAAGGGGTTACTTCTGTTGGGGTGGGGGTAGAAGAGGGAGACTCACATTTTTCTCTGTATGCTTGTGTATTTCAAATCTTTTACAAGAACATATTCGCTTATTACTCAGATGTGTTTAAATAGCACTGAGCTAGGAACTCATGTATCCAAGATCATTTGTTTTCAAGTGAGAACGGAGGTGAACACAAGTTTCAGCAGTGGGGCCCTGGTTGGACACTGAGACTGGAGGTGATGGGTGTGAAAATGCTTCGGGCACCTGAGGGTGGCAGAGAGGAGAACGCAGGTCAGCAGGGAGTCCCTGAAGGAACATCTGAGGGGATGAAAAAGTCAGTTGCTCTCTGGGCTAAACCCGGGGAGGGCATGGGGAAGCTACTGGGAATCGGCGCCAAGCAACACTACTGTCCCTTCCCTAAGTCCTCCCCATCCAGGGCTGGAGCAAATACTTGGAACTTGGGGTTCAGCCTAGAGCCTCCCCATACTTGGGGGTGCCCTCATGCTATACACCTGGGTCCTGCCCCTCAACTGTTCTGAGCCCCCCTCTTCATCTGCAGAATGTGCCCACACCGCCTCCTCCGTGGGACTGTGAAGACGACTCAGGGGACACGCTGGGGAGGGCGAAGTATGACAGGTGGGCTGAGGGATGCTGTCACCAACGCCCTGGGCCTCCACTGACGAGTGCCTTTGCTGGCACCCTCGGCCCGCATGTTAGCAGGCACCAGCCTGTGTTCTGGAATCTTGTTCCCTTCCACGTCCTCCGGGTTCTAGAACCCTGCTGCTATCCCAGACTGTCCTCTCTAGGAGAGAGGGGTCTGCTGCTTTCCTGGGCAGCGCCAGCCTGCGCAGGCTCTACCGTCCAGCTTGAGTCTCTGTGGCTGCCACGATGCGGTGGCAGGACCGCCTGGCTGTGCTCTGCTTTCCACAAGGCCTGATGCTCACCGTGGCGGCACTGATGCTCTTCTTCGTACACCTGAGCGTCTTTGCCAGCGACATGCACAACTTCTGCATCACCCACAACTACGACCGCATGAGCTTCCGCTACACGATCTTCCTGATAGTAAGGCCGGGGGTCAAGGGCTGGCCGGGGGAGCCCCAAGGGGCTAATGGCAACCCCACTATTGTGTCAGGGGTCACTCTCCCACTGGACGGGCCTACAGTTCTCCCAGGTGATCAGCATCTGCTGGGCTGCCATGGGGTCACTCCAAGCTGAGATGACAGGTGACAAGTTTCTTCGCTGCTTTGCCCTGACCATCCTGAGTGAGTCAGGGGCAAGGGGACTGTGCTGAGGGGCAGGGGGAAGCTCTGGAACCCTGAGAAGTGGCGGCAGGGGTGGGAAGCAGGGAAAGGACGCAGGGGTGTTAGGCTGATGGGCACCATCTCCTCTGCCCAGTTCTAAACGGAGCCATGTTCTTCAACCGCCTGTCCCTGGACTTTCTTGCCATCCAGTACCGGAAGGAGAGCCACTGAGGCCTAGGGACTGGGCGCGGGCTGGGAAGGGGGAAGGAAAAGGCGGCTCGGGTGTTTTAATAAAGTCTGTTGTTTATTTCCACCTGTCAGCTCCTTCGTGGGTGGGGCGGGAGGCTGGAGGCCCAGGGGAAGCAGGTCAAGACAAGTGCTTGGGCTGCAGGTGCTCCAGGCCCTGCCTGCAGCCCCCTCATGGACTCGGCTTTGGACCTGGCCTCTTAGTGTCTCAGGCTTGAGGGAGAGGTATGGGAAGAAGGGCCCCCAGGTCTCCCCGCCTCTGGCCTCCAGGTCCTAGGCTGGCCCAGCCACAGGTGAGCTCAGGAGGGCCCCACGCGGATGTGAGGGTTCATGAGTGGGTCCAGGTTGGGGTCGCTGTCGGCTGCGGCCCGGCCCAGGCGAGACATGAGGGCCAGGAGGGCCAGGAAGCCCAGCAGCCCCAACAGCAGCAGCAGCCCCGCCCGCTGCAGCAGGGTCAGCGGCCGCTTACGAGGCCCAGCCCGGCTCCTGGTGGGATGGGGGAGAAGTCCAGTCAGGCCCCCAGTCCCTGGTTGCCCCCATGGTCTGGAGAGGGGCCCTGGTCACGACACTCGTCTTCCGGCCCAGTGCCACTGTCTCTGAGCCTCAGTTTCCTCCTCTACGCCATGGGAACGCTCATGCTTGCACCTGCCCGCTATGTGGGTTACTGTGAGGCTCAACCCAGGTGAGGCACCTGACTGCTGTTTAAACCTGATAAGGTCATGCACTTGGAAATGTCTCAAGGACCAGGTGATGTCAGAGCAGGAAGAGACCTCAAAGAGCCCGTAAGACAAGCCTCGTATGTAGCACACGAAGAAAGAGAAATAGCCCCAGAGAGGGGCCGACCTAAGACGCCTACTGCCAAGCTGGGCCTCTCTGCACAGCCCCCAACACCAGATATGGATATCACACAGAACAAGCCTCCTTGTCGTGAAACCGTCCCACCCGGGGCCTCTGGCTCTCACTTCCCTCACCCCTCTTCCTGGCATCCTGCCCCACCTGGTCTTCCCCTCCTGACCCTGTATACCTGAGCAGCTGGGCCAGCCAGCCCAGGGCAGGCCGGCGGCGGTACTTGTCATCATCACAGTCCCCAAGGAGGCCTGCTGCCGGGTCATCTTCTCTCGTGTCATATACCTTCCTCTGGGCTGAGGCTGCAGGGGTGGAGCCACCAGCATCAATAGGCTCAGGGAGACAGAGCACCCCGGAATTATACAGACAGAATGTTTATGCTTGAGGGAGGAGGGGTCCCTCCAGGTGGGGCTCTGGATCCCCAAGCTGTCTCCACACACACCACCCAACCCCTTCCTGTCCTCCTCCGGCCTGGACAGTTCCCTGGCTCACCGTGGGCCAAGGGCTCAGGGCCGCCCATGTGGATCACCGTGTGCTGCTCAGGCCGGCCCGGGGAGGCAGGGGGCTGGGGGGCCTGGCTGTACAAGGCTGTGGCAGCGGAGGCGCTGGCCATCTCCTCTTGTCCGGGGGTCCCACTGGCTGGGGGCAGGAAGAGAGCTGTCAGCAGAGCAGGGAAACAAGATCCCCAACAGCACATGGAGGCCGCCACTTACCATTAAAGCTGGACCAGTCAGAGAAGTCGGAGGTGTTGAGGGGCTCAGACTCCGGGCTCACGACCTCTTCAATCTGAAGCAAGGAACCTGTGTCACCAGCCCGCCCAGGGGTGCCCCACCCACTCCCTTGGCCCAGGTGGGGCCCAGGACAGAGGGACAGTCAGACCGAGGGACTCTCACCAGAGGAAGGCCCAGTCCTGCCCGGGCCCAGTTGACCGTAGCTAGCTTCTCTCTCAGCGTGGAGGCCACAGGGCCAGCCAGGTTGGAGGGGGGGAAGATGGGGCCATTGCAGTTGGGGCACTGGTAGCCGGCAGGTGCTGTGTTTCGGGGTAGCTGGGCGGCACGCTCATTGAGGCAGGCCCAGTGGAAGACATCTTAGGGCCCATGAAAGAGGGGCGAAGGGACATGAAGGAGAAGACACTTAGCACCCCAGGCCAGCGCCTCACTGCAGGAATATCTGCTCGCACACAACTATGCCCAGAACCTCTCCTCCTTCCCAGCCTCACCCGCTTCATTTCACCAGTTTTCCCTAAGACTTCAGCCTTCTGGGTTACCGCCACCAGACTAAGCCAAGGCAGATGCAATCAAGCTCCCAAGAGGGTGGTGGTGGGTGGGAAGAAGATGCCAGCTAGCCTTTTAGTGAGTCCTCTCTGGGCCTGCGTTCAATGTTCCTTGAGCTAACAGCTAACCAAGAACAGTTTCAGAAAAGGTTCCTAGGCATACACACAGGCACATACATGGGTGTGCACGTTCACAGGTACAAACATACATGTGCTCATATACACAAACACAGGCGCCATTTCTTTTACCTATGCTCGCAAGCATACTTACCGTCACACGTACACATCTATACACTCACATGTCTGCTAACACTCAAGCTCGCTAACCTACGTGGTCTCCTGCACCCCCATAACACACCTGTGCTCATACGTTCACATCCACGCACTGACCCATTCACTACACACAATTGCTAATGTTGACAGTGATGCTTAAGTAAAGATGCAATGCACACTGTATTCCTGCATTTACACAGGCAACCCCCGGGTTACGGACATCCAACTTATGTATAACCTGTAATTACAAACCAACCCTCATAAAACCTATTATTAAAAGTTCGAGCTACATAATATGGTCCGTGATAACAAACAGGAGCTACTTTGCAATGCACATCAAAACATTATCGTCATTACTGTATCATCATATTAAAGGTGTTTTAGTATGTCTGAAAACTTTTCTTTAATGTTTTTTATGCATAGAAACGTACGTTACATACCATATGCTAAAACAAAGACTTGACCGCCGTTAGACACGAACCACACCTAACTGTTCCAACTTATGTACAGATCGACTTAAAGACGGATTTAGGAATGGAACTTGTTCATAATCTGGGGTCTGCCTGTCCACAGGCACTCACATTCAGAAACACACACTCACACAGAGCTGCTTTCTTTATACTAGCTCCTTCAAAAACCGCAGGGAAGGCTCTTACACTAGAGTCAGGTCGAGGTCACGACCCAGGTGTCTGCTAAAAGTTCCACAGGAAACTCACTTCCTCTCTCTTAGTCTTGGAATAAGCAATGGATCCCGAATGTCTGAAAGCCCCATGCTGGTCTGGCCAGCTACTGCTCACAGGCACACCCGTGAGCTTGTCTGGCTCTCACTCAACCCTCTGAGGTTGGCAGGACAGGCACTAGGAGCTTTAATTTTTAGAGAAAGACACTGGGGCCTAGAAAGGGAAAATGGCTTGCCTGGGCTCCCAGCCGGAGGACTAGAATCTGGGGCTCTGGCTTTCCAGGCTGGGGAGCCTCTACTCAGGGAGGGCCTGGAAACCAGTCACCGAGTTGGGCCCTGAGGCTGCCCTGGTCCCCACACAGTGCCCAGACCTCACCATAGCAGATGAGGCGGATCGTCTCCCGGGTGGTCAGCGGCATGTTGCACAGGTGGCAATTAGGGTTGTAGTCACTGTCTTGGAGCCACTGCAGGTAGGACTGGATGATGCACTGGAGTGGGCGAGAGATGCCACAACTGGAGCAGGGGCTCCACAGCCCATCTCCCCAAGGCCCAACTGCTCTTCTCTCATCACAGAGGAGACGCATCCTTTCGTTTGTTCAATCAACAAACATTTATTGGGCACATGTTGTGTGCCAGACTCTGCCTTAGGTGCTGGGGATATAGCAGTGAACAAAAGAAACTAAGTCCTTGGTCTCATGGCGCTTCCATTCTAGTGTGAGGACCCTCAGTCAGTGATTGGGAGGAAGCCCATACTGCCTGTCCCCCAGCGCCCTGTTTAGCTGCTCCCCCGAAGGTCCCACCTTGGCATGGTTGGCTACCATGCAGTGCTCGCAGACGTTGACCCGATGTTCGAAGCAAAACAGGTTGGTCACCTTCCTCTTGGGGCACTTGCAAAGCCCCATGGTCGACCCTGGAGAAGGGGCCTGGGTTGGTGGGGAGCCGGGCTCTGGGGACCGCCCCTGTGCTCTCACCAGATCCGTTCCTTTCCACTCCCAACGCCCCTAGACACTTTTCATATCCACCCCCACCCCGAATTCCTGCCCACTGCCCCACCTCATTCGGGGCCACGCCCCTTGCATAAACCTCGCTTCCGGCGACCCCCATTCCTTCTGGATCCGGAGCCCCCTTCACCCCGCCAAGGCCCTCCATCAGCGTCCCTCTCTTATCACCGGTCCCGCCCCCAGGAGCCCCTTCCGAGCCCCACCCCCTCTAAGCCCCACCCCCACCTTATCCAAACCCACCACCACCACCACCACCACCGACCGTGTTACTGATGGGCCGCGGCACTGGTCCCGACGGGCGCGTGAGGGGAGTCAAGGAGTGGAAGGGCAGAGACTAGGCTCACCAGAGCCCCAGCTCTGTTCCCTTTAGCTCCGGCCGCTCCAATTACCACTCCGCTGCCACGTCTCTTCCGGGTACTGCCCGCGCTGATGACGCCACAGCCTCCGCGCCGCATCTCTGCTAACACTAGACGTGAAAGCCGGTAAAGAAGTGGAGGGGCGGAGCCAGAGTCAGAGCCAGGAGGCCCTCCCGCCTGGCGCCACTTCCGTTTCCTCCTAGTAGGGCGGGTAATTCGAACGTTTCCTGTAGCAGACGGCCCTCCGGGGGTTGGCGCGAGCTAGGGGCGGCGGTGGCCGAAAAGATCGAGCCCAAAACCAGCTATGTCTGAGAGGGGGACGCGGTCCGGAGGGGCTGCCCGGCGTTCTGGTGAGCGGAGGGCGCGCGGGAGGGATGAGGCCGGGCAGTTTGGGCAACGCACTCGCGGGCAGGAAGGACCCCGCCTCCTAGAGAAACCTCGCGAGGAAAGCAGGCTTGTTGACCCTGGAAAGGCGCCCCAAAGGGCCTGTTTGGGAACCTCGTCTCGCTCTCTCTAGAACCTGTTCCTTAAGTCTACGGCCTAGAGTCCTCCCCTACCTCTTTTTTCTCCTTCTAGGGCCCCAGTCCCCATCTCCTACCAAATCTCTGCGGAGATCCCAGCGGAAATCAGGCTCCGATCTCCTCAACACCCTCCCTGAAATCTGGCCGAAGGTGAGCCCTGCTTTCTCAGTTCTTCCCCGAGGCCCCTGGACTGATGTGGAACTCATGCTCGCTCACCTTTCTTCCTGTCCAGGCACCCCCTGCGGCCCCGGTCCGAAAGGCCATCGTCTTGAAGAAGATCGTGGCTCATGAGGTCGAGGTGAGGGCTGCGAGGGGCTTGTGGGGTGGGGAGCCAGAACTGCCGGCTGGCGATGTGATCAATTAATGTTGTCTCCGCAGATCCCAGCTGTCCATTCGCCTCGAAGGAGCCCTAGGGTAAGTTCATTTTCATCTGCTTAGCTGAGTGGAATGCAGGACACTCTAGGGCTGGGGCGGGGCAAACTGGCTACTCACATCTGCACAGGGAGCTGTTTTGCAGTATTTTGAAACGGTTGGGATTTGAATGCCTTTGGACACCCGCATGCATTGCTTGTCTTGATTATTCCCTGTGGACCTCATACATTTAGCTCCTGGTGCCCTTTGTATTTCTACTTTTTTTTTTTTTTTTTTTTTAAAGAGCTTCTTTTAAAATCTAAGCTATGTCCTAACTACTCTTTGTAACCCATTTTGGGCCGGCCTGTATTTATGGTGGTTGTAAAGCTTTTATTTACAGTTGTTATAAGTCACGCAGAAGTTATTACCAAGTGTCTTAGTTATCTAGTGCTGCTATAACAGAAATACCACAAGTTGGTGGCTTTAACAAACAGAAATTTATTTTCTCCCGGTTTAGGAGGCTAGAAGTTCAAATTTAGGGTGCTGGCTCTAGGGGAAAGCTCTCTCTCTTTCTTGATTCTCAAGGCAGGTCGTTGTCTCTGAGCCTCTGCTTCTGGGCAGTTCTCATGTAGCTTGGCATCTCTTTTCCCCCATCTCTGCATCTCCCTTGCTTGTCTAATCTCTTTTATATCTCAGAAGAGATTGACTCAAGACATACCCTACACTGATCCAGTCTCATTAACGTAACAAAGACAACCCATTCCTAAGTGGGTTGATAACCACAGGCATAGAGGTTAGGATTTATAATACATATTTTTCGGGGTTCAATTCAACCCATAACACCAAGGTTGTTTCATTAACAGAAAATTTATGCTTGAAGATATGATAAATGAGAAATACTAACTGCCTCTGAGAAGCTCATGGAGCTTGCAGTCAAGTGCGGAGAAAGACAAACGAACAAGTGATTACAACCGTGTGCAGAGGCATAAATAAAGCAGTAGATGCTATGAGGTCATCTAACCCAGACCAGCTGGCTCAGGGAATGTTTTGTGGAAGAAGAAACATCTACACCAAGTCTTTAAAGACAAGTAGGGTGTCCCAGTCCAAGGAAGTTGTGTTTGCAAAGACCTCAAGTCCAAAGAAAATCACAAGGTTTGGGGAAGAGCAGCTTGTTTGGTGTGTCTGCAGCAGGCCCCATCAGGGTAGAGGAGAGAGCTAAGCCCAAGCAGATGCTCGTGAGCCACGAAGGCCACATTCAGGAGTGTGGGCTTCATCCTTGGGTCCGTGGGCAGCCTTTGGAGGGTCTTAAGGTAGTGACTGAGTTAAGCCTGGGTGTTAGAAAACCCCTCTGGGGGCAGTGTGGAGAACCGGGTTGGAGAAAGGCTGCACTGGGGCCCAAGACCAGGTAAGAGGGCTGGACAGGAATCCTGAAGTGAGGCAGTGGGAGCCTGCACTAAGGCAGTGGAAGGGTGATCGGACTGCTAAAGGGGCAAGGTGGGCAAACCCCATCTTTATTTTTTACTCTATTGTACTTTAAGTGAAAATTTACAATTCAAGTTAGTCTCTCATGTAAAAACTTATACATACATTGTTATGTGGGCCTAATTGCTCTCTTTATACTATGACAGCACATTCCTTTCCACCTGATTTCCCGTGTCATGCAACCAGCTCCTGACCCTCTGCCTTCTTGTCTCAGCTCCAGATAGGAGCTGCCCATTTAGTCTCATGTATCTACTTGAACTAAGAAGCATACTCTTTATGAGTATCATTTTATGTTCCATAGTCCAGTCCAATCCCTGTCTGAAAAGTTGGCCTCAGGAATTGTTTTAGTTCTGGGCTGATAGAGAATCCAGGGGCCATGCTTTCCGGGGTTCCTCCAGTCTCAATCAGACCATTAAGTCTGGTCTTTTTACTAGAATTTGAGTTCTGCACCCCACTTTTCTCCTGCCCCATCAGGGACTCTCTGTTGTGTTCCCTGTCAGGGCGGTCATTGGTGGTAGCCAGGCACCATCTAGTTCTTCTGGTCTCAGGATGATGCAGTCTCTGGTTTATGTGGCCCTTTCTGTCTCTTGGGTTAATACCGTCCTTGTGACTTTGGTGTTCTTCTTTCTCCTTTGCTCCAGGTGGTTGGGACCAACTGAGGCATCTTACATGGCCGCTTGCTAGCTTTTAAGACCCCAGATGCCACTCACCAAAGTAGGATGCATAACATTTTCTTAATAAAATTTGTTATGCCAATTGACCTAGATGTCCCCTGAAAGCATGGTCCCCAGACCCCTGTCCCTGCTACTCTGTCCCTCGAAGTGTTTGGTTGTATTCAGGAAACTTCTTAGTTAGCTTTGGTTTAGTCCAGTTGTGCTGACTTCCCCTGTAATGTGTGCTGTCCTTCCCTTCACCTAAGATAAATCTTGTCTACTATCTAGTTAGTGAATAACCCTCTCCCTCCCTCCCCACCCTCGTAACCATCAAAGAATGTTTTCTTCTGTGTTTAAACCTTTTCTTGAGTTCTTTTAATAGTGGTCTTATACAGTATTTGTCCTTTTGTGACTAAATTCACTCAGCCTAATACCTTCCAGATTCTCCATGTTATATTTCACAGATTCAGCGTTGTTCTTTATCGTTGCATAGTATTCCTTTGTGTGGATATATCATAATTTGTTTATCCATTCGTCCATTGATGGGCACCTAGGTTGCTTCCATCTTTTTGCTATCGCGAACAGTGCTGCAATGAACATGGGTGTGCGTATATCTATTCGTGTGACGGCTCTTATTTCTCTAGGATATATTCCAAGGATCAGTATTGCTGAATCGTATGATACTTATATTTTTAGCTTTTTAAGGAGGCACCAAATCGATTTCCAAAGTGGCTGTACCATTTTACATTTTCACCAACAGTGTATAAGTGTTGCAGTTTCTCTACAACCTCTCCCAACATTTATTATTTTGTGTTTTTTGGATTAATGCTAGCCTTGCGGTGAGATGGTATCTCATTGTAGTTTTGATTTGCATTTCTTTAATGGCTAATGATCGTGAGCGTTTCTTCATATGTCTGTCAGCCACCTGCATGTCTTCTTTGGCGAAGTGCCTGTTCATATCCTGTGCCCACTTTTTAATTGGGTTGTCTTTTTGTTGGCAAACCCCATCTTTATCACTAACTGCATACCAAGAATCAGCATGAATCCAGTTCCCACCTGGAAATGGATCCAGGCTTTACCTTCCTACATCTCCATGATCCTTTCTCTGAAGTAGCCACCCTAAGGGCGCTTTGAGTCAGAATCAACTCAGACGACAACAGTTTTTGAAGCTAAGTCAGGGTCTCATTCCCCCCGTGGGTTTGTTAATTCTCTAGAATGGCTCACAAAATTCACGGAGACTTGTCACCTATACTTACTGTTACCCATTTATTATAACCGGAAAGGATACAAGCAGAGATGCAGCAGGCTCAGTCTGGGAGAGGAAGCTTTGCTGTCCCAAGGGACTGGCCACCCTCTTGTGCATGGATGTTCTCGCCAATCCATAGTCAGTGCTTGGCTGAGTCACTGAATATGCATGACTGGTTCCATCACACCCCCTCCCCTCCTGAAGTTATTTGCCAGGTATGGTCTTTGGGGCTCCCACTACATTTGCACATGTTGTAGTGTTGGCTGGCTATTTTAGAAGACAAAAGGCAAATAGAGTTCTTTGTCTCGTAGTGATACCCCTCCCCGCCACTTGAGGGTCCCATCACGCAGAACTTGGCTCAAAGGATACCGCTTCCCAGATGCCTTCTCTGTCACTGTCACATTTTTCCCTGTAATTCTCCTTAGAACTTACCAACATCTGGGCGTATGAGTGGTTGGCGTGTTTCTCGCATGTTGGTTGGCTTTCTCTCCCCATAAGGACGTAAGTGCTTTGAGTGCCAGAATGTCTGCATCCCCCATGGTAGCGGCTCATTTTTGGTGGTTGACTGACAGTCGTGAGACATTGAGCTTATAAAGCCGCAGGACTTGGGTGACTGCTTGGCTGTAGAGGAAGAAGTAGTCAGGAATGAGTCCCATTTTGTTCTGCATCACAAGACCCTTGGGGCAGATTCCCCTCAGCTTATAACCAACAAATGGCTCTTGATAATCAATATACCTCCCACAAGAGTCATGGGATTTGTCCTGCCCTGCCACTGGCCACCATCAAGGTTCGTGTGCATTGTTAATTCAGTGGTGCTAATTGAACACCTGCTAAGGCAGGGCTCGGCGGTTGGTGCTGGGCACAGGCAGGGTCGGCCTGTAGAATGAACCCCCATTCTCATCAAGCTCACGTTCTAGTCGGGGTGACAGAGTTAACCGGAGAGCAGTGGTTGCTGTACAGGAAATAAAGGAGGTCATTGCACCAGAGAGGGCCACGCAGAGGTGAGGAGGGGCTGCCCTGGGGTCAGTGTAGGGAGGGCCTCCCTGAGGAAATGGCATTTGAGCTGAGAGTGGAATCATGAGGAGCCAACAGATGAACCTCAATATGCTCGACAGGTTGGCCACTCCGGTTCATAAGCTTGCCACAGCCCCCTGGGTCTCTCACAGCGTCTTACAGACTTCCTGCGGCCCCTCCCCAGTTACCTCTGGGACCTCGTCTTCAGTTCCTCTCCTCTGCTTACTCACTGCAGCTACACTGGCCTCCTTGTTCTTTTGCCCTGGCTGCACCCTTGCCTCAGGGCTTTGCACTTTCTGTTCCCTCTGCCGGGAACACTTTTCCTCCAGACATCCACATGGCTCACTCCCTCACCTCCTTCCAGTCGTAGCTCAGATGTCACCTTCTCAATGAGGCCTGCACTGACCACCAACGTAGCGTTCCACCCCACCGTCTGCGCTCCGCGTTCTGTCCCGTTTCTTCCGTAGCGCTTAATGCCTTCTAACATGCTACATGATTTTCCTTGTTTGGTACCTGTTTTCTCCCACTAGAATGGAAGCTCCATTGGGGGCAGGGGTTTTTTTTCAATCTGTTTTATTCCCGGTTTTCCTCCCGGTGCCTAGAACAGTGCCTGGCACATAGCAATTGATCAATAAATACTTATGGATTGTGATCGATACTTGTTGACTAGATAGACATTTTAGGAAAATTATTCTGCCAGCTGTGGCAAGAGGACCAGACAGACCGATGGGGGAGGCAGGAAGAGCAGCTGGGAGGTTGCTGAGCTGGTCAGATGACAAATAATGGGGCTTACACCGGTCAGAGAGAGGTGGCTGGGTTGCGGTCACCTTCTAGAGACAGCTGATGGTGGCAGGTCTTCTTGGGTCACAGACGTGGACTCCTCAGAAGCAGGGACGAATTGTTCTTTCCTTCCTTCTGCACGTTTGTCTCAGGTTCTGATTTGTTACCAGGCCTTTCTCTTCCTTCCCCCCTTTAAAAGTGTTTGTCCAGTGAGTCCATCTTTCCACCTAAGTCTCCTCGATCCTTCCTGGAGGGAGGTGGCGCAGCTGAGTAACAGGGAGGCTTCTCTCTTCTGGTCCCGGTGCAGATCGCTTTTTTGTTAGAGAAAGAGAACAACCCTCCTACCAAGGAACCTACTAAGGAGGACCTCTTCAAGACGTGTAGCACACCCGTCACCCCAACCACCACTCCGGTGCTGTTACCCCTGAATGTCGAGTCCAGCCCCAGGAGCGGAGACCTGGATACCAGAGACTTGGAAATGTCTAAGAAAGTCAGGCGATCCTACAGCCGGCTGGAGGCCCTTAGCTCCACCTCCACCCCAGGCCGCCGCTCCTGCTTTGGCTTTGACGGGTTGCCGGTGGCACAAGAATTTGCCAGAGTCTCACCTGTGGTGTGTTCGAAGTCATTCGAGGTCACTGGCGTCTCTGTGAAGCCCTGGGCCCCAGACACAACTCTCCCCGGGATCTCCCCACCAGCCATAAAAGAGAAACGAAAGAAGAAGAAAGTGCCCGAGATCCTGGTGAGTGAGGGGCGGGGACTTCCTTCTGCCGTCACACAGCGCAGCTCACCCAAAGGCGAGTGGGTTGGGTGCAGCTTTGGTGTTTGGGGGAAAGGCGGCACCTGCAGGGTGTGGGTGGAGATGCTCCCTCCACACTCATCTGCCCCCCATTTCTCTTCCCCCAGAAATCGGAGCTGGATGAGTGGGCTGCGGCCATGAATGCTGAGTTTGAAGCTGCTGAGCAGTTTGATCTCCTGGTTGAATGAGATGAAATGGGGGTTCATCTGGCCAGACTCTCCCCTCCTCCCCTGTACATAGTTTCCTCCTCCCTGCCACCCCCCCCCCACTCCCCGCCCCACGGTAGCCTGGAGAAGACACTTGGGGTCCACCTCTGAAGGCTCAGGTGGTGGCGGCCATTTCAGGCTCAGGAAATGGGCCCCGTCTGGCCTGGGCACTCATGGGGGTCCTGTCTCTAGTCCGTGGCCCACTGGCCTCTCCTCTCTGCCTCTGAGGATCCAGCCAGAGGAGGTTAAAGGGCGGGGGCTGGAGGGTGAGGGCACCTCTGCTCTTGTTGGGAAGTGTCTGGCTGCTTGGAGCCGGCCCCATACCGGTGCTGAGGGACATGGCTGGCCTCTGACGCTTCCTCTCTCGTTGCCTTCTGTTGGGGGCTTGGTTCCCAGCCGCTGGTTTAGCTATGTAAAGAGGCTTTAGCTTCCGTGGAGTTCCTCTTAGATGACGTCAGTGGTCGAGGAAAGAACTTTGGGTTGGGGGACAGCTTTATCTTTGAGGAAGAAGCCGGCACTTAGCCTGTAGAGTCTATGTTTTGAAGGAGGGAGGGAAGCCTTGGTTGGGTCTTAGGCCACAAGCTTTTATGACTAGGACCTGTTTTATAGTCTTGTTTTCTGCTGTTGAGATGCTCAGTAAATGCTAGGAACACTGGCTGCTTGGAGCTAAGAGGGTGTATTTCAGGGTGTGGCAGCCATGGATTAAGGCTTACGTGGGCACCTGCATGGGGCTGGGGCTGGGACCTTACCACCCTGCCGCCGGGCGGGAAGGGCTCATGGCAGGAGCCTCCCCCTCTTGTCCGTCACACCCATTTCTTACAAAAAGCACCGAGTCTCCTTAGCTCTAGAAGAAAATATTCTAGGTTGGAACGTCCTGGTCCCAGCAGCATTTACAACTATGCTTGTGAAGTTCTAGGAGGATTTTCTCACATAACCAGAAAGGGGCAGAAGTTGATAGAAATTTTACCTTTAGTTTCCTGTTAGCCTCTCGGATGAAGAAAGTGCCAGGAGTTGAGTTAGGGGGTCTTGCCTCGGGGGACCTTCCCCCTCTTTCCCTTTTCTCCATACTGGTGATTTCAAAGGCTGCCCTACTGTGCCACCATCCTGCCGTAGCCCAGGTCATTATAACTTACGGCGTTTACAAGTTCATGATATTGGAATCGAGGAACATGGAGGGGCTGCTGGATAACAGAACCTCGGGGAAGACGAGTGCTTGGCTGGGGTCCTCGGGTGCAACAGCACAGGCCCGGTGGGCGCTAACAAAACCCTTTGCAAGATCTGGGAGTCCCAGGGCATCTGTCTGGCACGTTGTGCCTCGTCAGACCCTGCACACAGGCCCCCTGCGGGAAGCCCTTTGAGCTGGACCCCACCGGAAGCTTCCTTGTCCTCACTCTGGCAAGCAGAGCTCTTGAGACATGTGTTGGCCCTGCAGCAGCCGCACAGGGTAGACAGATGGTGTTGACGTACTGCAGACTTGTCTCTGTCCGTGAGGAACTTAAGAATATGGGGTTTAAGGAAAAGTTGGGATTTTTTTTTTTTTTTTTAATAAAAAAATCTGATTAAAGAATTTCTGCCTGTTTGTGGACTTGGTTTCTCTTACTGGGTCAAAGGCAGAGGTGAGGCTGTGAGGTCCGGGAAACAAGCCTTTGGCCTGTCACCAGGGTTGTCCCTTTGTAGCGGTAGTCAAGCTGGCCTCCCTCCAGGGGCCCTGTGGTGGGTCCCTACCTCCCCCCAGGTCTGTATTTCTGTCTGGTGACCCATCTCTGCCTCTATGTCAGGGCTGCCTGGAGAGGTGGCCTTAAGGCAAGGCCTGACCACACCTGTCTCCTTGCTTGCGCAAGCCTCTGTCTCCAGGGGAGATGCCCGGGACCAAACACTCTCAAGTCCAGTCTTTGTCCCCCAGTCCCCCTTCCGTTTCGGGTTCCTTTGAAGGAGCCAGAGTCCTGCAGCTGCCCAGCCTGGATGCTCCACAGCAGTGGGTGCCAGGGTTGGGGAGGCTGGGGAGTTTGTCAAAGACGGAGCTTCCTGGGCCGTGTCCCTGGAAATTCAGCGGGTCTGAAGTGAGGCCCAGGAACATGCGTGCAACTCAATGCAGGCGGCCCAAGCCAGCCTCCCTCTGTCTCAACCTCTACACTCATCCTTGCCTCCTAGTCCTTAGAACAAAGTCAAGGACATTCAATTCTAACTAACAACCTCCCCAAACCCATCCACTAGTAACTCCTTCCCCTACCCAGCAAGGGACCTGCTTTTACCAAGGTCAACTCTCAATTATCTCTCTTTTTCCTACAAGTTCTGAACAGGCTTGTGTTTATTGTCAAAAATAAAAAAGCCTTGGCCAGCGTCTGTTTGAGCTACTACCATATCTCCTTCCTTCCAGAGTTAAGCTCCTTGGAAGAATGCTCTAAAGTTCTCTGTTTCCTTCCCATTCATCATGGATGCCCTCATCCCTCGGGCTGCTCAGGCAGAGGTAACCAGTGACCCCCTGATACCAGCGCTACGGAGGCGGGGCCTCTGCAGCCTGAGCCAGGGCCACCCTTCTCAGTCATCGTGGCCCTGCTGGCTCCTTGGTGGCGCCTCCTCCTTGGCTCCCACGTTCAGTCCCAGACCCTCCTTCCAGCCTACTTGCTCTCCCTGGACAACTTCAAGCTCTGGGCCACCTGCTTGTCATGACGTGTCAGTCTTTATCTCCTGCGCTTCAAACCAGAATCTAGATCTCTTGATTCAGAAATCATCCCAAACTCAGCTCATCCGGCAGCTCGCTGCCTCCTGTGCTCCCTAGGCCATTAGCCTGTCACAGCTGCCCCCGTCACAAGCCAAAACCTGGGCCGTGGGCAGCTCTGCCCTCCCTCACCTTCCCCGTCCGTCAGCCTCGAGGCCTGTCAGTGCTGCCCCCGCCACACACCCCCACGGCCGCTGGATAAGTGCACTGACCGCGGGTGGGTCTCGCCAGCCTCTCCCGTCTCTCCAAACTGTCCGCACTGAGGCCAGAATGAATTTCTTCAGAGTCAAAATGTGGTCCTGTTATTCCCTGCGTAAAACCCCCTGGTGACCTCCCGTCGTCCATGTGGTGGCGTAACACAGTCATTGGGCTTCGGCTGTGCAGTGTCACAGCCTCCTACAAATGGCAATCTGCAGGACCCCACTTCCCTCCACAGAGTGAAGAGGCCAGACTGGTTCTCCCTCATCTGGACAGCCAGGATATGGGCACCTGGCCGCAGCTCAGTCAATCAGGTTCTCCTCCTGGAGCAAGGGCCGCAGACAGGGATGACAGGATTCAGTGAGGGGGCGGCACCACATGTCCAGGGGCAGTTGTGCCCCTGGCCTCCGTTGTCCAGTGTGGAGATGGCAGAATGCTACCGTTTGCTCCCGTGGCAGGCCCTGATGTGGTTCTGGCCGCCAGCAACCCAAAGTTCCTACCTTTTTAAGTCTGGTTCTAATTGTGCCTTCTGTGACTCCGAGGTTCTTCCAATAAACTCCTTTTCTGCTCAAATTAAGGTCCCTAGGTGGCTCAAACAGTTTGGGCTTGACTGCAAGCCTAAAGGCTGGCAGTTTGAACCCATCCAGCAGTACTGCGGAAAAAAAGCCTTGGTGATCTGTTTCCGTTAAGATTACAGCCAAGAAAACCCTTTGGAGCTGTTCTACTCTATAACACATGGGGTCGCCATGAGTAGGAAGAGGCTTCATGGCAGCTAATAACAACTGCTCAGATCAGCCAGCGTTTTCTGTGGTTTGCAACCAAGAACCTTGACTCCCTCAGCAGGGCCCACAAGGACTCCAGGACGAGGCTGGGACTCACATCTCTAGTCTGATGGTCCACAGAACCAGCCTAGGCGCCGAGCTGCAACCAAGTCCACGCCGGCGAGCCGTTGATGAGCCTCTGCTCTGCCTCGAGTGTTCTGCCCTGCCCTCGCTTCGCCGGGTGAATCCTGCTCGGGTAGGTACCTCTGCCCAGCCTTTGCTTCCCGCCTGTCCCCTCTGCAGAGGTCACATAGTGGGCAAGAGCACAGGGTCCAGGTCCATGGGAGTTTGAATCCTGGCACTGCCAGTTACTAGCTGTGTGACCCCAGGCAAATTAATTAACCTCTCTGTGCCTCACTTTCCTCATCTGTAAAATGGGAACAATAACACAGTAGAACCTGCCAAAGCCAGCATCTGTGTAAGGTGGAAATCTATTGAAAGGAAAACTCAAATATTTTCCACTAATAGAGAGTGACAGGAAATGGTAAGACTGCACCCTGTCAAAGGCGGAAAACTTGCGAGACTTGGAAAAACAAAGCAGTCCTGTTGAGTTTCGGCTCTCACAGGTTTCCCTGTAGCACCTACCTCACAGTGTTTTGGCGAGATTGAAATGAAATCATACAGGTAAAGAGCTTAGTACATAGTAAATGCTCCCTGAACAGCAGTTATTATTTTCAGGTAGAACTGTGTTTAATGATAGCTAGTAGTATTATAAATGATCCAGTATCAACCCCTTAAAGGAGGAGATTTGTTTTTGTTTCTTCCCAACATTCAGGGCAGGGCCTTGAACAAAGATCTCAGTAAATATTTGTGGCGTTGACTACCCAGTGAACCTGAGCACCTGCGGCTGCCCCACTTGTGAGCCGAGCGGCAGAGAAGGACTTGAACCCACGTGTATTGATTTTCAGTTCTGCGCTGTCTTCTGTCCCAGTCTGAATTAAGCACCTGTCTGTGCTTGGCCAATCGGACCTTGGAGGGGGCACCAAAGGAACGCCTGGCATTCTCTGGGGAGGACCCTTGGTGGGCTCATGTGGAGAGAGCTTGAGCACAGTCAACAGTTTGACAGGTGGGGCTGAAGGCTGGTCTGTGGGCAGAGGGAAGAGCTTAGGAACTAGTGGCCCTTGGGCTTCCTATTTTATTTCAACTTTCCAACTTTTCTTATATGTACTGTATTTTTATGCAAATAATGAGCGTGTTATATGTTTTTTGCCAATCTTGTGATCCCCACCCCGGGTATTTTTGAA